GGGCGCCTCGGGGAGAGGCAGGCCTGAGGGCGCTGGGGCGGGAGGGGAGCAGCGTTTACCCCTGGGGGGTCTCCTGGGCCTTGCTCGTTTACGGTGCTGGAAGTGTGCTTTGTGTTCCGCTTTCCTGGCTTTAAGCACAAATCCTACGCGTGTGAATGTGGCTTATCAGAAAAATATTCGCGAGTTTTAATTGGCAGCTAATTCGCACCGTATGTATGACCCCCTTGCAGCTTACAAATCACCTTTGTGCCTGAGCAGACGCTTTCCATATCCGTTCCCGAGAACGTGCCTGCTGCTGTTAAAATGCATTTGCCTGAGTTTGTCTGTAAAGTAACACAAAATGTTTATGACATCCACATGTGCAAGCAACTGTTGCCATGTTATTTTTATAAGCATTTTGCTACATGGGACAGGCCGAAAAATAGAAACAGCCATTTCCAGTGTGTGTATGTATGCGTGGAACAATACCACATGTTTCATCAAGCTGCAACAGAAATATGTCTGAAAACTTGGAGCTTTATTTAGAATTCAATTTACACAGAGTACTCGAGTTAGCAGAAATAGCCATTATAAATTATGTGCAACTGGATTTATAAAGAGAAAGAGTTTGTGTGCAAATACATGAATAAGCTGTCCCTCATGGAATTAATTACGTGCATGCCTTTGCTTGTTCAGACCACTGAAACTAGATGTAGTGTGTATGATGGAGGAATGGAACTACAGTACAAGTATTATATTGCAAATATCTGATTTTCATAGCGTGGTTGTGTGGGTGGCTTCCATTTCAGCTAAGTAGCTTTAAAGAAATGGAAATCTCAAGTAAGAAAAAGTAGGCTTAAAAGTATAAAAATGACAACAGAAAAGTCTTTAATCACTTATTTGAGCTTCTGAAAATACCTCTAGGGTATTAAAAACATAAAAAGAGGAAATACACTTGAGAAGAAGAAACTGGTACACAGATACATATTTTTTCATTTTAGAGCTGAGTAATCTGTTTTCAATGAACGAGATAGAGCTACCACTTTACAATTTTGAAAGGTGAGATGGTTAATGAAAGTCAGCTTTAATAATAAAATTATCTTATTGAGTAGTAGGATTACCAAATTTGCTTGTCATATATGCTAACTTAAAGTACGGAGAGAGAGAGAGATCACCTCTGTAAGATATTTTGTCCCATTCTGATACAGAGCTCTGACATACATGGACTGAGCTGTTTTTCTGATGTGCCTATTTCTATTAATAATTGGTAGCTGCAAACTTAGTCTGGATACCTAAATATAGACTATTTAAAATAAAATGAATCAATTTCATCTTCTGGATGTGGGAGTTGACACTTAAAATCCCCACTGAAGTTAAAGGGACTTGGATGTAAAATGAGGATTTTTATACTCCAACTGAACAATCAGCACTCTTTAGATAGACTATATATAATCCTTTTTGCAAAATACAGAACCTATTTAGTCTTATTCTTGGCTTGCTGAGCATAAATGAGGTCAATGATGACTTGCACTTCTGGAAGTTTAGAGTAATGACTTAGAATACACGTTTTCCAGAAAGTCCTCATTATACTTGCATTCTAAAAATACTTCATTTGCTTATGCATGGGTATGCAGTTGTAGCAGGGCAAGTGATCTTATAACATAGTATGTGAAAACAGAATATGAAAATAAAGAAAAGCCTAGATCTTCCCTTTGACTGACAAAGGGGCAGGACAGCACAAGAGATTATTCATTTTGTAAACCACCAAAGAATCTCAGGTCCCTAGAGTGGGTCATCTGACCCACAGAGTAACACCTTTTATTCCCAGAGATGTTTCATCCTTGGGCATTTGAATATGTCCATGCTTTTACCGCAGAATATGCTGACTACAAAGAGGATTGCCCTCATATCATTTTAGAGACCACATTACAGAAACGTTTGCTTTGCATAATAAAATTCATGTTAATCCTGGCTCAATACATAATCCATCTCTGTCCGTATTGCTAAGCCCTTGTATGTGGACATGGGTGCGCTCTAGTCCCGGCCCCAAATTCTCCATCCTCTCTTGGGAAACTATGGTAGGAAGAGTTTTATCACAGTTCTAGTAGCAACATAATGTGATCAACAGCATTCATTCCAGGAACAGAGAAGCAAAAAGTTCATAAAAGAGCTGTACATCCAATTTCAAAGGCTAACTT